AACATATATATGAAAGCCATAAAATAAACATCAAGCAACCTAATCCAACTCGAAATTAATATCGCAGGCAAATCCTCAAAATACTCTGTGCATGCCCTGTCCATTTGATGTGCATACTGTGATACTTTGTTCTATTTTCAACAAGGCCCATATGCTGTGTCTGCTGCTGCACGTGTTTATGTTTGTGCTGGTGTCCAACTTGGTCTATGGGCTTATTCGATTCGGCCTGTAAAATCTGTTGGTTCTGTTAGTCTAGCCCAAAAATTTGTCCTTGTATTATGGTACAGGCCCAATTTGTTTTTTATTTTAGTGGATTGTATTTGGGTTCTGCTTCAACTGACCCAATCAATTTTAATATGCTTCAGCCCCCATAAAACGTCGCCAATTCCCCTGAATAGCCTCCCCACATTGAGGAGGCTTTGGCAATATAATTATATAAATCCTTGTTTTTGGGGGTATGTACATAATTTTTTTATTATTAGGGGTAATTAAAATTATCTTGGATACCCAGAATCAGAACCAAAACCTATGTTTCAAGTTCCAGTTCCTTTGAATTTGGGTAGGTATCTAAAGCCGCTCACCCTTAGATATAAGAATCATTTGACGAGTATATAGATAATGTAATATACTAATCTTATTTGACATTTTTTTAATAAAATAATTGACAAATCAATTAAAAGATAAAACAAATTTATCATAATATATTATTAACGATGAACATATAAATGACATGATACGACTATCTTATTTAAGATTTTTATATTTAATCAATTGGTACTACAACCTGATAGTTATGCATCAGTACCTCATTATCAAGTCACCAATATGTGAATTGGGCCAGCTGCTAAGTATACCTTAATACTTTATATCAACCTTCCTAGTTTATGTCTAAATTGGGTCCAGTTGTTAACAAATATGGGGACTTTTGAGTGTCAGACGTATTAGGGTCAAAAATCGTCCTTGGCCCAAACAGGAAAACAGGACCACCAATGAAGAAAAGACTAGGCCTAGTCCTAAAGAGGCCCAAGCCAAATTAGTCCCATTTGATATGAGATACGACCGGCCCAAACAATCTGGGCACGGGCCTCCCAGTTCCAGCTCATTTCATGGGCCTATAGGTGAGTTCAGAGCCCACGGCCCCCACTGATCATTTTCCTGTTCCTATTCAATCTCCTATTTGAAGTCACTTTCCTATTCCTAGTCACTTTCCTACTCAAAGTGATTTTCCTGTTCAGATCACCTTCCTATTCGGAAGCAGGTAAGACAGCTCACCACCGCCCTAACTTTTCTAGGGTTTGCATCAGAGTTACACTCGGACTCCTACTCCTACCAGGATTGGGAGACTAGACAGTCACTATATAAACAAAGGTCAGCCCTCTCACAAAAGACACAACATTACACCTTCACATCCAAAGCTTCTACTTGGGAGCTTTACATCACTGTCGTAGTCACAGTCTCCGATTAGACTTCTGGTAATCTCTTTACTCCCTAGCCCTCACTATATTAGCCTCTTTCAACCTTGCTGACTAAAGTGTCGGAGTGCCTACGGTAAACACCACCCCAGTGTTTCTCGTTCACTTCACGCGTTTGTTTCTTTACGTGTGTAGGTGCAGCGGATCGCTAATGGCCTCAACCTCACCGGATCAGACCCCCCTTCCGTACATGAATATTTTTACGTCTACAGTTTGGCACCCACCATGGAGCCTCTAGCAATCATTCGGCTCGACGAACCTTGCTACGTAAAGGAACTTTCCATGGCTGACAACTCCGACAACGCTAATTCCGGCCTCGAGGCCAAACTGGAAACTCTAACCACTCTCATGCAACAGAACTCGGACGAGGTAGCCGCATTGGAAGCCGAGAACAATACACTCTGAACAGAAAACGCGTCCATCAAGTCAGAAAACCAGTCTCTCAAGGCGAAGGTGAGTCAATTATACGATATAGAGTTCCTGCCTGGCCAGGCACCCCCCAATCGGTTACGCACCCCTGTTCCGTCCGTGCAACCTCTCCTTACGCCAGGGTACCGACCCTCAGTCTCCGGCAAAATGCCGCGTCTGCTAAACCTGTCTGCGGTTGACGATTTTGTCCTGATTCATGGAGATAAAGATATGCATGTAGAACATCATTCAGCCGATTCATCCCAGTATCAAGATCAAGACGATCCGGTGGCAGAAAGCCCTCATCCACAAGATCAGCCCAATCTGACCATCCCACCTTACATCTAGTCAACCATCCCAACACATACCCCATTCAGCTCGGCTCATCCTCACAGGATGAATGGCCAAACTACACAGACCAAAGCACCCGAGCCCATCCATCCTGACCAACCGAATGACTATCAGAGGACTCCCCTGACCATTCATGTGGGGCGAAACACCAGAACAGTTACCATGGGAGTCATCCAACCGGAAGGAATGAATGAAGATCTATGCTACCAGGGAACGCACGAAGGAACAACTCGTCAGACCACCCTACGAGGGATGACCCAACGGAATGTATCAAAGACAATTGCAAAGGCTGACTCGGTCATGCGGGATGACCTAGTGGCGTCCCCTTCTCATATGGAACAGGTACTAGCCAAGAGATTGGCCGACATGGAAGCAGTGATGCGATGCATTCCAGGAATGCCAGTCCCAACCAAGAAGAGCAAGCCCCATTGTTACGCGGATTCACCCTTCGTGGATGAGATCGCCCTAGCCGATATGCCTTAGAAGTTCACTATCCCCAACACGAAACTGTACAATGGCACAACTGATCCAGACAATCACATAGCCTCGTACAAGCAACGGATGTTCACNTGATTTTCCTGTTCAGATCACCTTCCTATTCGGATGCAGGTAAGACAGCTCACCACCGCCCTAACTTTTCTAGGGTTTGCATCAGAGTTACACTCGGACTCCCACTCCTATCAGGATTGGGAGACTAGACAGTCACTATATAAACAAAGGTCAGCCCTCTCACAAAAGACACAACATTACACCTTCACATCCAAAGCTTCTACTTGGGAGCTTTACATCACTGTCGTAGTCACAGTCTCCGATTAGACTTCTGGTAACCTCTTTACTCCCTAGCCCTCACTATACTAGCCCCTTTCAACCTTGCTGACTAGAGTGTCGGAGTGCCTACGGTAAACACCACCCCGGTGTTTCTCGTTCGCTTCACGCGTTTGTTTCTTTACGTGTGTAGGTGCAGCGGATCGCTAATGGCCTCAACCTCACCAGATCAGACCCCCCTTCCGTACAGAAAGATTTTTACGTCTACAGTTTGGCACCCACCGTGGAGCCTCTAGCAATCATTCGGCTCGACGAACCATGCTACGTAAAAGAACTTTCCATGGCTGACAACTCCGACAACGCTAATTCTGGCCTCGAGGCCAAACTGGAAACTCTAACCACTCTCATGCAACAGAACTCGGACGAGGTAGCCGCATTGGAAGCCGAGAACAATACACTCCGGACAGAAAACGCGTCCATCAAGTCAGAAAACCAATCTCTCAAGGCGAAGGTGAGTCAATTATACGATATAGAGTTCCTGCCTGGCCAGGCACCCCCCAATCGGTTACGCACCCCTGTTCCGTCCATGCAACCTCTCCTTACGCCAGGGTGCCGACCCTCGGTCTCCGGCAAAAGGCCACGTCTGCTAAACCTGTCTGCGATTGACGATTCTGTCCTGATTCATGGAGATAAAGATATGCCTGTAGAACATCATTCAGCCGATTCATCCCAGCATCAAGATCAAGACGATCCGGTGGCAGAAAGCCCTCATCCACAAGATCAGCCCAATCCAACCATCCCAACACATACCCTATTCGGCTCGGCTCATCCTCACGGGATGAATGGCCAAACTACATAGACCACAGCACCCGAGCCCATCCATCCTGACCAACCGAATGACTATCAGAGGACTCCTCTGACCATTCATGTGGGGCGAAACACAAGAACAGTTACCATGGGAGTCATCCAACCGGAAGGAATGAACGAAGATCTATGCTACCAGGGAACGCACGAAGGAACAACTCGTCAGACCACCCCACGAGGGATGACCCAACGGAATGTATCAAAGACAATTGCAAAGGCTGACTCGGTCATGCGGGATGACCTAGTGGCGTCCCCTTCTCATATGGAATAGGTACTAGCCAAGAGATTGGCCGACGTGGAAGCAGTGATGCGATGCATTCCAGGAATCCCGGTCCCAACCAAGAAGAGCAGGCCCTATTGTTACGCGGATTCACCCTTCGTGGATGAGATCGCCCTAGCCGATATGCCTTAGAAGTTCACTATCCCCAACACGAAACTGTACAATGGCACAACTGATCCAGACAATCACATAGCCTCGTACAAGCAACGGATGTTTACCGTCTCAATACCCTGACCGCTTAGGGAAGCCTGCACATGCAAAAGTTTCGGTTCGAGCTTATCCAGCCCAACACTCCAATGGTACACGAATCTCCCGAACGGATCCATCGACTCATTCGCTTAACTTACCGACACATTTGTGGAACAGTTCGCCAGCAGCAAGAAACTCAAAAGCTGTCGGCAGACCTATACAGAGTTTACCAGAGAAGGGGCGAGCCATTGAGAGAGTATGTCAGCAGGTTTAACAAAGAGAAGATCTTCATCCCTGCATGTAACCTTGAGACAGCCGTAGATGCCTTCAGGAAGGGTCTCCTCCCGGATGGAGAACTATACAAAGAACTTACAAAGTTGGGATGCAACACAATGGAAGACGCCCTGGCCCGGGTAGTGATCCAAATAAGATGGGAAAAAGATGAGATAAACTGAAGGATTCATTCCAGATACGATTCAAGGCGGGATGACAGGAAGCCAGAGCCGAGGCCAGCGGAGCACTACCAACAAGCCCTGACACGTAATTCGAGTAGAGTCAGGAAACTGTATGATCGTCAGCCAACAAGAACCGAGGGCAGATAGTTCAGATCGAACCGGTACAAAATACCGGAATACAGCCTCAATGTTGAACCAACCTAAGTCGTCGTGATCATGAAGGGAATGGGATCCACTATTAAGTGGCCAGGCAAGCTCAATCCGGAGATAAGGAGAGACAAGACCAAATGGTGCGAGTTCCATGGCGATCATGGGCACAACACCACAGACTGCATTGCCTTACGGCTAGAGGTCGCTGCACTTCTAAAAATGGGACATCTCCGGGATCTGCTAACCGATAAGGGGAAGAGCACCATTAGCCATAAAGGTTCAAAAGAACCATCACCACCTCCGCGAGAACCTACGCCAAAAGGTTTTTGTTCGCTCATCTCTGGAGGATCAGAGATCAGTGGGGTAAGTTACTCATCGGCCAAACGGTATGCCAGAGCCAACCACCACCATGAAGTCCAATCCATCCATCCGGTCTCACGGTCACACACTCATCAGGTAATTCAATTTGAAGATGACAAACCGATCACCTTGGCCGCTCCTCATCACGATGCCCTAGTCATCTCCCTGCAGGTCACCAACATCCTAGTGAAAAGAGTATTCGTAGATGGAGGCTCTTCAGCAAACATCCTATTCCTCGAAACAGTGAAGGCTATGGGATTAGAAGAGGCAAACATCAACAGGCGGCCGACGTTGCTAGTTGGTTTCAGCTTTGAGCAGAAGTATACTATCGTGGAGATCGTCCTCCCTATCTACGCTGGTAGAGTGAACAAATAGACTATTTTTTTGGTAATCAATTGCCCCTCGCCATACAACATCATCTTGGGCTGACCTTGGATCCATAACATGCAGGCAGTCCCATCTACCTTCCACCAGACGATCAGATTTCCAACCAAGTTGAGGGTACGAGAGATCAGGGGTGAACCCAAAACTTTCAGGGATTGCTACAAGAATGCCTTCAAAGGCAAGGGTAACTCTTCGTAGCAATTATAGTCTCATCCAACCCCACTGACCGATCCAGATCAACCATCTATGGAAGAGTTGGATGAAGTACAGATATATCCGGACGATCCCGAGAGAAAGACACACATAGGGTCCCACCTGAAGCCCGAGGCAAGAGAGAAGCTGATAGAATTCCTCAAACAGAACCAAGACTATTTCGCCTGGTCCCTCGCCGACATGACCGGAGTCAGTCCGGAAGCAATGGTCCATCAGCTCAAGGTAGACCCAGATCACCCAATAGTGAAACAGAAGAGAAGGAAATTCACACCAGAGCATAATCAAATTGTCAACGAAGAGGTTGAGAAGCTCTTGAGCAATGGTATGATCAAAGAGGTCCACTACCCCGAATGGCTAGCAAATGTCGTGGTCGTAAAGAAGAACAGGAAATGGAGAGTGTGCATCGACTTCACGGACTTAAATAAAGCCTGCCCCAAGGATTCCTTTCCGTTCCCACATATCAACATGATGGTCAATACGACCGCAGGTCACGAGCTCCTTAGTTTCATGGATGCTTTCTCAGGGTACAACTAGATCTTGATGCATCCGGATGACCAAGAGAAGAAAGCCTTCATCATGGAAAGAGGAACCTATTGCTATAAAGTGATGCCATTCGGCCTGAAGAATGCAGGGGTCACCTACCAGCGGTTGGTCAACAAGATGTTCGTCGAGTACCTCGAAGACATCATGGAGGTGTACATCGACGACATGCTCGTCAAGTCACTGATGGCCGAACAGCATCTCGACCACCTCAGCCAGGCATTCGTCGTCCTCAGGAAGTACAACATGAAGCTAAATCCAGCCAAGTGCTCATTTGGGGTCTCTTCAGGAAAGTTCTTGGGCTACATGGTGACTCAGCGAGGGATAAAAGCCAACCCAGACCAAATCAGAGCAATCCTTGGTATACCGTCTCCGACTTGCGTCAAAGACGTCTAGCGCTTGGCAGGACGTGTAGCCGCCTTGAGCCGATTCATCTCCAGGTCAGCCGACAAGTGCCATCTCTTCTTCCATGCTCTTAAGAAGTCCAAGAAGTTCTAGTGTACCGCCTCCTGCGAAGAAGCCTTGCAACATCTGAAGAGGTACCTAACCTACCCTCCGCTCCTCTCCTCTCCAAACCTGTGGATGGGGAGAAGCTCTACTCTTACCTAGCGGTCTCCGAGATAGCCATCTCAGCAGTACTAGTTCGAGAAGAAGAAACGAAGCAGTTGTCGGTCTACTATATAAGCAAGTCACTCCTTGACACGGAAACACGATACAGTCAACTGGAAAAGTTAGCCCTCACCCTCATCCATGCATCCAGGAAGCTTAGGCCGTACTTTCAATGCCACTCAATAGTTGTACTCACCTCCTTCCCATCAAGAAGATACTGCACAAACCAGAGCTATCAGGCCGACTCCTACAGTGGACAGTAGAGCTTAGCAAGTTTGACATCTCATACCAGCCTTGCACTGCAGTCAAATCCCAGGCCTTGGCCAACTTCATTGTTGATTTCACCCCGAATACTACCACCCAAGTAGAAAATGAGTTATTATGCATGAACGGCGGATCACCATCCAAGTGGATCCTCTTAGTGGACGGCTTGAGTAACGTAAATGGAAGCAGACTTGGAGTGGTACTGGTCGCATTGTGTTTATTTTTTTTTTTTTTTTAACACAATCAATTGAATTGAATTGAGGTGACTACCTCTTTTGTTTTTATTCTTTTCTCTCAACCCCCACATCCTTCTTTTGGTCTCTTCTTCATTTTTCTTCTCTTAACCCCCAAACTATTCTTTTGCTCATTTGTACACTCGTCTCGTTCTTTGTTTTGCACTAGGACCGAANCCAACATCCTAGTGAAAAGAGTATTCGTAGATGGAGGCTCTTCAGCAAACATCCTATTCCTCGAAACAGTGAAGGCTATGGGATTAGAAGAGGCAAACATCAACAGGCGGCCGACGCTACTAGTTGGTTTCAGCTTTGAGCAGAAGTATACTATCGTGGAGATCATCCTCCCTATCTACGCTGGTAGAGTGAACAAATAGACTATTTTTTTGGTAATCAATTGCCTCTCGCCATACAACATCATCTTGGGCTGCATGCAGGCAGTCCCATCTACCTTCCACCAGACGATCAGATTTCCAACCAAGTGGGGGGTACGAAAGATCAGGGGTGACCCCAAAACTTCCAGGGATTGCTACAAGAATGCCTTCAAAGGCAAGGGTAACTCTTCGTAGCAATTATAGTCTCATCCAACCCCATCGACCGATCCGGATCAACCATCTATGGAAGAGTTGGATGAAGTACAGATATATCCGAACGATCCCAAGAGAAAGACACACATAGGGTCCCACCTGAAGCCCGAGGCAAGAGAGAAGCTGATAGAATTCCTTAAACAGAACCAAGACCATTTCGCCTGGTCCCTCGCCGACATGACCGGAGTCAGTCCGGAAGCAATGGTCCATCAGCTCAAGGTAGACCCAGATCACCTAACAGTGAAACAGAAGAGAAGGAAATTCACACCAGAGCATAATCAAATTGTCAACGAAGAGGTCGAGAAGTTCTTGAGCAATGGTATGATCAAAGAGGTCCACTTCCCCGAATGGCTAGCAAATGTCGTGGTCGTAAAGAAGAACAGGAAATGGAGAGTGTGCATCGACTTCACGGACTTAAATAAAGCCTGCCCCAAGGATTCCTTTCCGCTCCCACATATCAACATGATGGTCAATACAACCGCAGGTCACGAGCTCCTTAGTTTCATGGATGCTTTCTCAGGGTACAACTAGATCTTGATGCATCCGGATGACCAAGAGAAGACAGCCTTCATCATGGAAAGAGGAACCTATTGCTATAAAGTGATGCCATTTGGCCTGAAGAACGCAGGGCCACCTACCAGCGGTTGGTCAACAAGATGTTCGTCGAGTACCTCGGAGACATCATGGAGGTGTACATCGACGACATGCTCGTCAAGTCACTGATGGCCGAACAGCATCTCGACCAACTCAGCCAGGCATTCGTCGTCCTCAAGAAGTACAACATGAAGCTAAATCCAGCCAAGTGCTCATTTGGGGTCTCGTCAGGAAAGTTCTTGGGCTACATGGTGACTCAGCGAGGGATAAAAGCCAACCCCGACCAAATCAGAGCAATCCTTGGTATACCGTCTCCAACTTGCGTTAAAGACGTCCAGCGCTTGGCAGGACGTGTAGCCGCCTTGAGCCGATTCATCTCCAGGTCAGCCGACAAGTGCCATCTCTTCTTCCATGCTCTTAAGAAGTCCAAGAAGTTCGAGTGTACCGCCTCCTGCGATGAAGCCTTGCAACAGCTGAAGAGGTACCTAACCTACCCTCCGCTCCTCTCCTCTCCAAACCTGTGGATGGGGAGAAGCTCTACTCTTACCTAGCGGTCTCCGAGACAGCCATCTCAGTAGTACTAGTTCGGGAAGAAGAAACGAAGCAGTTGTCGGTCTACTATATAAGCAAGTCACTCCTTGACACGGAAACACGATACAGTTAGTTGGAAAAGTTAGCCCTCACCCTCATCCATGCATCCAGGAAGCTTAGGTCGTACTTTCAATGCCACTCAATAGTTGTACTCACCTCCTTCCCACTCAAGAAGATACTGCACAAACCAGAGCTATCAGGCCGACTCCTACAGTGGACAGTAGAGCTTAGCAAGTTTGACATCTCATACCAGCCTTGCACCGCCGTCAAATCCCAGGCCTTGGCCAACTTCATTGTTGATTTCACCCCGAATACTACCACCCAAGTAGAAAATGAGTTATTATGCATGAACGGCGGATAACCATCCAAGTGGATCCTCTTAGTGGACGGCTTGAGTAACGTAAATGGAAGCAGACTTGGAGTGGTACTGGTCGCATTGTGTTTATTTTTTTTTTTTTTTTAACACAATCAATTGAATTGAATTGAGGTCACTACCTCTTTTGTTTTTATTCTTTTCTCTCAACCCCCACATCCTTCTTTTGGTCTCTTCTTCATTTTTCTTCTCTTAACCCCCAAACTATTCTTTTGCTCATTTGTACACTCGTCTCGTTCTTTGTTTTGCACTAGGACCGAATTCTCCTNCCCCGGCGAAGCTTGGCACACTAAACTTCTTCTATTTTCAACCAATTTCAGGGCAAGCATTCAACACAACACTCAATCAAACAATATTACCAAAACCAACTCAAATAAGAGCGAAAGAAGCAACAATATCTACGTACCTCATGTGGGGCGTTACAGTTCAACACCTTTAAATCGGCCCTGTCCGATCAACGATTTCGCACCTTCGAATCGACCAAGCTCGGGTCACGAAAACACCTTCGAATTGACCCCGTTCGGTTCACGAATACATCTTCGAATCGACCCAGCTTGGCTCAACACCTTCGAATCGACCCATTCGGTTCACAAGAACACTTTCGGATTGACCCTGTTCAATCCACAGAATCACCCCCTCGGATCGACCCTGCTCGATCCACGTTATCACACCTTTTGATCGGCCCTGCCCGATCCATGAAGAGACCATCAAATCGGCTCAGCCCGACCTACAACTCGCACCTTTGAGTCAGACTCGACCGACCCAAGAACTCGCACCTCCGGGTTGACTTCACCCAACCCAAGACACTTCATACTCGGTCGGCCAGACCGAATGAATGGTTCTTACACCACCAATACGCAAAGCACCAAGCTAGCCCAATACAAGGCTTACATGCCTTAGCCGCTGGGCCACACTAAGAACAACAAACACAACTTGGTGCATCTACAAGTAAAGAAAGAATGAACAACTCAGTCATCCATGAAGAAA